CAAGTCTAGAGGGAAGAAAAAGAGGGCAGATTTCTTAGGGAAGGTAGATGCCCAAAAAAGTGGGACAAACTCCAAGTTGGGGTCTTATGCTGGTTGCTTACTGTAATGTCACCGCCTCTGAGCAGCATGGGGGAAGACTGAGTGGATTTGCCTATATGGAGAGATTCACGGTAGAATCCCATGCCCTATTTTAGCACTGAAAATTGGTCCATACAACTTATTTAAATAACTTCAGACTGCTGCATCAAAAGCACATCACAAGCTGCAATTGATGTAACAGAACAGTCTGAAGATAAGCATAAAGACACTTAATCAAATTACATGGAATCAAAATATGCATATTTACATATATACCACATATATATTTCACAAATATCACATTTTAACTGATAGCCTGACTATACTACAGTACATTACGATTTGCTAAGGACTTGAAAGGGACTAAACTCAAAGGTGTGGAAGACTTCTGGCCAACTTGACAACTGTGCTGCAGTATTAACATTGTCTCTGTTGAATCATTTATGTTGTTTTTCTCATTTGCAAGATGCATTTAAGTCTGCTAAATGAAAAATCTACTGGAAAAGGCAAGTGTAAAACTTACACACAGAGGAAGCTTGGCACCCAGGAACATTAAACCAAACAGCAAAAATCTGTTTAAATATATGTTATATAAAACAGATGGGCTGTGTACAAAACAAAACTAAACTTAAAAGCAACATAAAAATTAAACAAAACATAAAAGTAACTAAACTAACAACAAATTAAAAAGTAAATAATAGTAATAGATATTTTAGTGTATATTTTTAGTAATTAAAAAATAAAATAAAATAAAAAATAAAATGTATAAAATAAAACTATACATAGTAGTAGTTAGAGGTGTAACGATTCACTCGTTTTCTCAATGCATCGATTACAAACCCTGACGATGCAATGAATAGATCTTGAAACATGGATTTTTGAATCGTGAATTGCCGATTTCGGACAGTAATCGATTTAAAACGCTAAGAATCGAATGAATCGCGATTTCTATAGCAATTCAATGCTTTCAAAGTATATACTAATTAAATTACTACAAGCACGAATTGAACAGTGTTCGTGCCCTCGCATCTCTCCTTCATGCGCTCCACTATTTTACCGCCTGCATGCACAAGATTGCGCTCGTGCTCCGTTCGTCTCACACATTTTTTGAGAAGCTGATGTGTGATCTCTCCTTAGTAGCCTACTCGTGGCCAGTAATGCTAATGTGAAGTAGTTTTACTTTTCTGTAGTTTTTCAATGGCTCTCGGTCATACCGACGACGTCATTACCTGAGCAGTCGAAGGCTGCGCATTTATTGTCAGAAACTATAAAGTATATTTTCTACCTTATTCTGTGCAGAAAATTGAAGTAATTGTTTGTATTAGGCCTATATATATCAATCATAAAATTGCCATTAGGAAACAATTATAGATTACAAATGATTGATTATTGTCCAGCAGTGTATTTGATTTCTTATAACAAATTCAAAGTAAGAGATAAGAAAACAATTTATTGTTTAAAAAAATAAAATAATAATAATACTACATACATACATAAAATTAACACTTAACGTGAAAAACGCTTAACATGGCTTAACGTGGCTTAACGTACCTAAACACCGACAGGGAAACCCAAATTTCTGTCAAACCTTACTTGTAATAAACACTAACTACTGTCAAAATAACAAGCTCTTCTTATTCAGCGTATAACGTGAATATCACGTTAAGTGCTCTCCCCCATTGAAGTCCATTATAAGGAAACCGCTTAATGTGGACACATCGATGAACTGAGAACATTGTAATTTTTTTCAGTTTAATTTTGTAATAAGCATGAAAGTAAAGACAGGTACAGGTTTTTCCTGTCTCAGCTCATTATCTCTAATGATCACGCCCTCGCGCAGAGCGCTATTCGTATGGTAATGATCTACGCGAGCCATTCGAACAGGGTCAACACCCCCAAACAATGGGACAACAAAGCGTTCATTGTCAAGTTTATTGATTTGTCTGCGCTTTTGGATCATAACACGTTAAGCTGTTTCCTTATAATGGACTTCTATGGGGGAGAACGCTTAATGTGATATTATTCACTTTATAAGCTGAATAAGAGCTCGTTCTTTTGACAGTAGTTAGTGTTTATTACAAGTAAGGTTTGACAGAAATGTGGGTTTCCCCGGTCGGTGTTTAGGTCCGTTAAGCCACGTTAAGCGTTCTTCACGTTAAGCGTTTTAGAATGTCCCTATGCCATGTCATGCCATAGCATCATTAAACTAGCATCTAACGGTGGACAAAAGTGTTTTTTTTTCTCTAACCTATATGGTTCTGTAACCATAAAGGCTGCTGTGTAATTTGCCCCCTGGCTAAGCATTTAAAGAATTTAGGGGAAGCATTTAAATAATCCTGTGAATGCACTTAAAGAATGCAGAATCTAATCGTTAATCGAAACGAATTTCGTTGTGAATCGAATCAAATTGAATCGTTCTGAATTTGCAAAAATCGTTCTTGAATCGAATCGAAAACCTATGAATCGTGAATCGAATCGATACGCTGTCTACCCAAAGATTCACAGCCCTAGTAGTAGTTAATAGTTAATTAATATATTTTTATGCCATATAAAGTTGGTTTCTAAAAAAAAATAAAGCTGACCTTATTTTGTGGTGGGACCAGTGGAAAAAAATTAAAATATTACAAATTAAATTAAATAAACAAAT